ATTTGTGTCCAACACATGTAGTGTCCGACCCCTCACTACTCCTATACTCGTCGCAACATCAATACTATTCACTGTATTTACTATGAAATATAAGATACTTATTATATTATAAACATTCATTATTTTGTTTTATTATTTTTGTAAAATTTAGCAATTGATATATTTATATTTTACAAAGTTTCTTTATTTCAACTTTATATTTAGTTATATATTCAATTGTAGTTATGAATAATATAAGTTTTATTAAATAAATCATCATTATATATACTCTATTAAATTAGGTGCAGTTAGATACAAAGTGATTATAATTTTGTTTAAATGCATATATAATTTGGCTAAACAATTGATTAAATTTTATACAATAAACTTTTTTATTTCAAAAATGTCAATGATAAAATAGTATTGTTATAATTACGATATTTGTAGATTATCCTTGAACAGAATAAAATAAACTTTTAAAAAAGTCAATTAAATCCAGATAAATTAGTTCTTGTAAGTTATAAAGTACAAGCATGTTTATCAAACACAAATGGACTTTTATTGATTATTTTTAGTGCAATAATTTTTAGTACAATAATTTTTAGTACACTTGTACACATAGTGTGACCATCTCCTGATCATTCTATTTTACAAACATTTCCTTTGAGTTACAATGTTTTAAAATATTCATAGCTTTTTTGTATAATTTGTTAAATTGTTTGTAACTTTATTCGTAGTATTTACATAGATTTTTCAATATTAAAATAGGAACATTTAATATCCCTCACAATGGTTGTCAGAACCATTAATAGATAACAATAATTAAGGTATCCAAATAAAGAACAGTTCTCTGAAATAGAGCATAGGTGGTTACTAAGGAAACCGCGTTCCAGCAACTTTCCAGCAACTTTATATATATTATAGTGTAACTAGATGTTTATTAATATGTCTATTTGCTTATGAGTGTTGTATTTGTGGTGAAAATACACAATTGACTCATACTGCAATATATATAAAAAACATGACTGGTTTCTCTAGTGGTTACACTATTTACACATGATAGTGAAATTTTGTATTTTTATCGCCCTGACTTGTGAGTGCACATTTTGAAAATACATTCAAACATCATTCAAAAGCAAAAATAATTTCTACAATAAAAATAATTTAATGCACATTATAAATATCGTAACTAGCTTAAGATTAGTAAAATTATTGATTAACTTAGTTTAAAATTTTAATAAAATTTATTATTAAGCAAAGAAAAAAAAGCGTTTTGGAGCTTTCTTCACAGAAAAAACAAATTATTTTATTAGAAATATTAAAGTTGTGTTTATTAAGCATTGAGTCATTCAATGAATCAAACATTACTTTATCTAAAGTTAAGTTTTTCTGTGAAGAAAGCTCCAAAACGCTCTTTTTTCTTTGCTTATTTATTATGTAATTGAATGTATAAAATTTTACTTTATTTAACTTTTCATTTAATATTTTTATAAACGCAAAATAGATTATTTGGTTACTTATTAAAACTATTTGTATAATTGTGATTTAAATTAAAAATTTAAAAATGGCATATTTTTATTATTATAACAAAATTAAATACAATAATTTGTGTATATATTTTAAAACATTGAAATTATGATTTAAAATTTGTATTTGTTTTTTAAAAAATTTTATTTAATAATAATAAGGAAAATAATGTAATAAATTTAACAATACTGTATTATTAATATTTAATAATTAAAAAACACAGTATATATTTACTAAAATTTTAGTATAATTTTTTTAAAATTTTCAGTCATGGCAACATACAATGTATGTAACTTTATTATAGAAAGTAGTCGGCCCACACGCCATCACATGTTTCGTGAAACGGGTCACTCAGTACAAGCCGTAAGTCCTTTGGGTCCAAACCGTGGACTTTGGGCGCACCCATCGGCTCATCGTTTAACAGTTGCGGCCAATCAGAGTCCATATGACTGTAAATTAATAATTTTAAATATTAATTCACTTTGTATAAATGATAAATGAGCGATCATGAAAGTTATAAAAACTCGCAAAATCTAAAATGTTAAATATCCAAATAGACTATTACTATTTGAATTACTATTTGAAATAGTAAACAATTAAAGTTACCCTGTTTTCGCAAATGTGATCCACATTTTCATCATATATTTGCTAATAATTATATCATTGGGGGTATACTCGTTGGGATAACGTAGTGGCAGACCAAACACAAATGGTAGGTCCGACATGTGACAAATGCCCATGGTCGTTAGGTCGCAACCTATCTGTTTGGAGTAGTAATCGCTTCGGTATAACAACTCGTAAAAGTAAACCCTTTGCGACTCTTTGACAGTTTGTGCGAACCGTTTGGCGAACAGATATGTCGGACATATGAAGTTTATATCACTGAATAGTGCGGTCAACGCTGCGCGCAGTGCCGCCGGACTACTAGTGTTGACACCTTTCAGATAGTGTTCCGTCACTATCGGTACATTCACGTTATGAAAGCCCAATAATTCCATGGATTTAAACGCGTTTTGAAAGTCCGCGAGTGTCACGTGATTCGGGTCTTTGACAATTGTGCCCAAAGTCATAGACTCCTCGTCGTGGTTAACGCCACCAATTACGTCAATATCTTTACATAAGATTAAAATTACAATTACTTCGACAGTATTAACAATATATTAAAATTGTTTACTAAAAATGTAATTTCTAAGTTGTAATTTTAAACAATAAAATATTATTTTAATTTCAAGTTAATCATTTACGAGATTAATATATTATAAAAACAGGAATAATTACTTACAAGTTAGTTAAGAAATACTTTAAACATATCCATTGAAAATGGTATTTTGTTAAAGTATAAAGAAGGGTGACGAAGACTCTATGTTAATTTGGCTAAAAAAATATTTTTTATTTAACCCTTCGTAAAAAAGTTACGTTTATAGTATTGTGGGCGAATTTTAGTTAAAAGTTAATTCAATGCAATTTTCTTTATGTTACTTAATATATGTTAATTAAAAAGTGAAATAAAAAGAATCGGGATGACAACCCGACCTCGAAATCGGCAATATTGGTCACTATTTTCGGTAAATATAAACATGTTCAAAATTAACATATGATATATGAAATCAATATAGAATTAAACGTAGAATCAGAATATACCAATATCAAACTAGTGGAAGTAATAGTTTTATTGTAATTTGTGTAAAAATGCTTAATTTTATCATAATAAACTGCTATGTTCTAACAGAAGACCCACAAAACCACTACAACCTCGACCACCACCCACAAAACCACCTACAAAGTTCATTTGCTCAAGAGAGACGTAAGCGCTATCGGGGTTTCGTTTATATTTCCGCAGTGTTTAGTAACGGTATATTTGGATGTTTGCCAAATTTTTGTGGTTACTTCCAATAAACCCTTTTAAATGTCATTTAATACATCTATTATTTAGCTTCA